GCAGCAGCCCGCAACCACCCGGAGAAAATAAGGTCGCATGGTCAATCACGTTGAAAAAATAATAGTGTTGACAGAAAAAAGTGTTATTTTCCGCTGTTTGAGGCACGAAAGAATCGGAAAATGTTTTCTCACACACTGCTGGGGGCCTGATGAAATCAGGGTGTTATGGGGTGGTGCAGGTTATTTGAGCATATTTTTGTTGTTTAGTGATGGGCGATACCACCAGTATCGATTCGATACCGATTACTTTTTCGTAAAAGTATCGAGGTATCGATTACCCAAATGATTACTACGACGACGATTGTATTTCAGAATTTTCCTCCATTATAAGTTATTTCCCACCTTTTTCATAATTTATTCTGTCGACGAGGTCCGGAATATTAATCAGGGAAGTGGATAGAATGTCAAATAAAGTAAAGGAAAGTTTGATTAAATTGGTAAATGCAGCAAAATACAAAAAAGTACCTAAATTTTATTAGAAATAGCCATGAAAACGATGGCACAACTACAGAATTATAATGAATGTCTAATTTTAAAAGTAATCAAAACTCTTTTTCGATACCGTGCAGTATCGACTACTTCCGATTTGGGCCTGGTATCAGGTGGTATCGATACCAAGTAATCGGTAATCGCCCATCACTATTGTTGTTGCTCAGCGTAGCTCAACAGTATCCCACCCACCCAGCCCTTTTATGTTTATTAGTAGAGAGTAGGGGAGCAGAACGGGTTTTTGTAGATTTTTGGGCTTGGTTTGAATTTCAAAATTCAAACCTGGAAGCCCAAAAATTTTCTAAACATCCTGAAAATTGTTGAGAAACATTTCTCTCGTCAAAACAATATTAAACTTTCGACCAATAAAAAGCAACCATTGAAGGAAAATTTTCAAATCATTCTTGTATAATAGTATACAATAATATACTTAATATAAAACTAATTAAAACTGACCTTCCATGTGCTTTTATAGTGCTTCATCTGCAAATCCAACTGAACTTATTTCACACATCCAAAGATGACAATACGTTGGACTTGATTCACATTGGTATTTGGTTTTTTCGTCATATAGTTGCAATTGCTGTTGCTTGTAATTTTTTTATAAATCAGTACAGGCTCAGGGCGCTCAGCGATGTAGCGAAATTTCGGGCCGTCTTTCACAACAAATAACATCACAATAGATGCACGTCTTTTTGGAGTTATAATTTCAAAAATAACCAGTCGTTATAACGTAAAATAAGCGGGTATTTGTGAACAAAAATGCCCTTTGATGACACGAAGTAACCAGCGCCATCTTGTCTCTCCAAACCTTACAAATTTTCCCGCCAAAAACTCCCTCGAAGTCCCGTATGTACCTGACGTCACAAGGTCATGGACGAGGGGACTACCATATTTGGTAGTAAAACTAAATCCAATATAGTTTTAATCTCTTTCCTTCGCTATTTTTGCTTTCCGCATATTGTTTGACCCAACCACGACTGTTAACAATTCGGGACAATCCGAAGTTGTCTGAGCCACTGACCAGTATACAGCACTGGATAAAGCAATATCGTTACTTCATGTAACCAGGCTTGTTCTGGCTCGGTCAACATACATACATGAGGGTGGGAAAGGGTATTTTCGTGAGCCGTGGTGACAGTGGCGTAACGCTCACTAGGTAGGGTTAGTTCAAAAACTAAGGTCTCCGACAGTTAGGGGCCCCCATCAGCCACGGCCTATTGCCCAGAAAATTAGACTGAAAACGTACAAAATGCAGGTTTACGAAAAATACAAAATTAACAATGCAAAATAATAAACCCTCCATCGACGACGGTATTCCATCTCAAATAGAACAAAAGTTATTCTTAAAAGTTGTTACATGTGTTGGAGACTGTTATTATCATTGTTACAGA